TGATTAAAACTAAATATTGATTAAAATTCACGATGTTTGGACCATAATTGGGGTCTCTGAAGCGACCAGAAAAAACCGACAAAAATAAAGATTTTGGTCCATTTCATCCCCTAAATATTAACCGATCGCTTCCAAAAACAACAGGGGTCTTCATTAGCCAGAACCCATCCTGCATGCAAAATTTCGTAAATATTGGTTCATAACTGTGTGTTTACAGACTATAATGGGCAGATAGACAGACGGACGGAACAATCCATTTCCAACATGAGTATTTTAAATAATATTTTTTCAAACACCATCACAGGGTCTGGCCTCATGAAAAAATAGTTTTTAAAGGCCACCACAAGGCATGTATTCTTAAAAAAAATATGTTCCCAAGGTGATCATAAGTGTGGATATTTTAAAAATATTTTTTTCAAGTGTGGATTTTTATACCCTTCATCCAAATTGGATGACATTTGTCATAGTTCACTTATTTGCCTCAAGAACGAACCCTATTTAAAAATCGGTTCAGATTTAGATATAGCTCCCATATATATTTTCGTCCGATTTAAGGTAAATTGTGCCCCAAAGTCCCTATAGCTCTATATATCTTTCGATTTGCACAAAATTTGGCATAGCGTACTGAATAAGGTCTAGAAAGATATGTGTGTTATGTTTCGTGAAAATCGTTTCAGATTTAGATATAGCTCCCATATATATTTTCTTCCGATTTAATGTAAATGGTGCACCAAAGTCCCTATATAGCTTTCGGTCTGAATGAAATTTGGCACATCGTAATGAATTAGGTCTAGAACGATGTGTGTTAAGTTTCCTGAAAATCGGTTCAGATTTATATATAGCTCCCATATATATTTTCGTCCGATTTTATGTAAATCGTCCACCAAAGCCCCTATATATCCTTCGATGTGTACGAAATTTGGCATGGTGTACTGAATTGAGTCTACAATGATGTGTGGTAAGTTTCGGGAAAATCGGTTCAGATTTAGATATAGCTTCCATATATAGTTTCGTCCGATTTTTTGTAAATGGTGCACCAAAGTCCCTACATATTTTTTTTATTTGCACGAAACTTGGCACAGCGTAATGAATTAGGTATGGAATTATGTGTGTTATGTTTCCATGTATATTTTCGTCCGATTTTAGGTAAATGGTGTACCAAAGTCCCTTAATATCTTTCGGTTGGCACGAAATTTGGCACAGCGTATTTTTTCCGATTGTATGTAAATTGTGCACTAAAAACCCCAAGTTTGTCCGATTGCCACACAATTTTGTACAATGAACTGTAATTAATATAAATTAATCTCTGGCAAGTCTCGTTGAAATCGGTTCAGATTTAGATATAGCTTCTATATCTGGCCAAATAAAAAAATTAGTATAGGCTGCAGGATCCAATTTCATTTTACTGGTTGAATATACCCAAAGTGGTGAGGGGTATCATATAGTCGGCCCGTAGAGAAGGATATGGGCCTTCTTAACTTCATTTAAATTCTTTTTTGATAGACGTATGCCTTTCAGCGGAATGTCTTTGTGTAGTCTTATAATTGATAGCCTTCCCCTTATTGTAATTTATTTACATATGAATCCAATACAACTGTTGCTTATTTAAATCACAATATATTTCTTTGACAAATGGAAATTGGAAAATCTATTGGGTCAACATAACCTATGACACGTTCATGCATATATAAAATTAAATTTTCTGTATTTATTGTTTATTTCTTCTGTGTTTGCTTTAGGTTGATTGAAAATCCTTTTTTGTCCTGTTATTGATTGCTATTCAAATTTAAGAGGATTTCAGTTCGAAATGGATTAATTTTGAAAAGAAGAAATGTGGAAGGGTAAGAGGCGTGGATTTTTTAAACACATTTTATGGTAATTAAATCTAACTCCTGACTGCCTATTTTCTTTAGACACCTTACGTTTGAATAGTTTCTGTTCTTTCAGAAAAAACTGGAAATTTTTCAGTTCGGTTCCATGTTGAACGCTGTTCAAATACGTCTGCACATCATGTTAATGCATACAAAAAAAAAACACACAAATACATGTGCATTTACACACATGTACCTGCACACACACCTACACGCACCGAATTAAAGCAATTCATTGTCGTAAAAGTAAATGTCATATCCTTTGAGGATTACAATATCACAGCCATGTTGTTGACACACTTATCTACGCTGTCAGTTTGCTTTTATCGTTGTCCTGCTACGTACTGTGAAAAAAAAACAACAACAACAAAAACAACAGCACAAAACGAACTGTGAAGAAGTTGGGGGGGCGGATCAATTGACCAAAAAATTTGTCGTTTCTGTTGGATGTCGGAATTTAACCTGAGTTCCACCATGTTTGACATAATTGAAATTGAATGTTATTTCATCATCAACGTTGTTCGATGAGTGGTCGTTGCTGGCGTTGTTGGTCATGACCCAGCAGAGAGGGAGAGAGAATGCTTTCCTCCAGGGAAATAATGCAAAAACCAAATGAACAAAATTGGACAAAACTCCTGTCCAATGGAAATTTTCTTTTCGAAGTGTTGAAATTAATGGAGAAAAAAGAAGAAGAGTGATAGGCAGAAAGGCAACCAGGCTGACTGCCTACCTTCCTGCCAGTCTTTCTCTCTAGCATACCGATAAAAGCGGATAAAACGACAATTATCAACAATGACACGCAATGAATGACTGAATGGCCGACTGAATGAAATCTCAAAATAAATGGCAAAGATTACAACTGCATGAACAGAACAAAAAAAAAACAGGACATAAATACAAAAGTCCTACAGCTAAAAGGACATTAAGAGGTGAAAGAATAACATTAAGGGATTAAGCAATTATTTGCATAAACTCCAACACTCGAGAAATAACTTGGCCGAGGCGAACAATTGTGGCAAAAGAAATGAATTCATGTCACCGTTGTTGTCATTTAACATTTAAGGCTCGCCCAGGGGCAAAATTGTAAAGCTAATTGCCAGCAAGATGAATAAGAAGAAGAACAACAAGAAGATGAAAAAACAGATTCTACGAAATTTTGGCATCCTGGTTGCTGTTAATTTATTTAATTTCAGAACAACACACGGCGGACCTTGAGCTTAATTGAAATTAAGGTAATTTTATTTGGCATTCTCCAAGGAAGAAGACAGAAGAAAATAAGACCACAGGAATGTGGGGTATTCAATGACAAATTCCGTGAACAAGGATACAAAATTGACGTTCAGAAAAAATTACTAAAAATCTCTTTGATTAATCTAAAAATAATTTCTCAGAACCAACACAAGTCGTAGATTTTCACAAGAAGCTTTTTTTTCAAGGCCTAGATGAGGTTTGGATTTTTTAAAGAATATTTTTTCAAGGAATAGAAGAGTTGCAGATTTTTAAAGAATCAACAAAAAAATTCAAGGCCTAGAAGAGGCGTAGATTTAATCAAGAAACAGGCGCGGATCTTTAAAGAATAGTTTTTCAAGGCTACAATAGGCGTGGATTTTTAAAGAATATTTTTTCAAGGACCAAAGTAAGGCGTGGATTTTTAAAGAATATTTTTTCAAGGACCAAAGTAAGGCGTGGATTTTTAAAGAATATTTTTTCAAGGACCAAAGTAAGGCGTGGATTTTTAAAGAATATTTTTTCATGGACCAAAGTAAGGCGTGGATTTTTAAAGAATATTTTTTCATGGACCAAAGTAAGGCGTGGATTTTTAAAGAATATTTTTTCATGGACCAAAGTAAGGCGTGGATTTTTAAAGAATATTTTTTCATGGACCAAAGTAAGGCGTGGATTTTTAAAGAATATTTTTTCATGGACCAAAGTAAGGCGTGGATTTTTAAAGAATATTTTTTCATGGACCAAAGTAAGGCGTGGATTTTTAAAGAATATTTTTTCATGGACCAAAGTAAGGCGTGGATTTTTAAAGAATATTTTTTCATGGACCAAAGTAAGGCGTGGATTTTTAAAGAATATTTTTTCATGGACCAAAGTAAGGCGTGGATTTTTAAAGAATATTTTTTCATGGACCAAAGTAAGGCGTGGATTTTTAAAGAATATTTTTTCATGGACCAAAGTAAGGCGTGGATTTTTAAAGAATATTTTTTCATGGACCAAAGTAAGGCGTGGATTTTTAAAGAATATTTTTTCATGGACCAAAGTAAGGCGTGGATTTTTAAAGAATATTTTTTCATGGACCAAAGTAAGGCGTGGATTTTTAAAGAATATTTTTTCATGGACCAAAGTAAGGCGTGGATTTTTAAAGAATATTTTTTCATGGACCAAAGTAAGGCGTGGATTTTTAAAGAATATTTTTTCATGGACCAAAGTAAGGCGTGGATTTTTAAAGAATATTTTTTCATGGACCAAAGTAAGGCGTGGATTTTTAAAGAATATTTTTTCATGGACCAAAGTAAGGCGTGGATTTTTAAAGAATATTTTTTCATGGACCAAAGTAAGGCGTGGATTTTTAAAGAATATTTTTTCATGGACCAAAGTAAGGCGTGGATTTTTAAAGAATATTTTTTCATGGACCAAAGTAAGGCGTGGATTTTTAAAGAATATTTTTGGCATACAGATAGCCTTAAAAACTACTCTTGTGCCGAGATGACAGCCATAAGGTCTTCCCATGAATGGAAGATCTAAATCTGTTTTTTTTTTAAGCTAACAGTTTTTCATCATCCTCATCCCCGTTATGTAACCATCCCCGTCATATTTGTCACCACGCGTATCTTCGTAATTTCTCCTCTCCTCCCTTAATTTGTATAACATATTAATCTGATGACCACAATTACATTTTTTATTCTCAATCTCCCGAAAACAAAAAATAAAGTAAACTGACATTTAAAAATTCCAATTTCAAGCCGGATAAAAGTTTTAAACGAAAAAAAGTAACGAATCGTTTCATTTACATACCTTTAGCGGTCGTGTTGTAATGTTCGTTGAACCCGCCGATGTGGCTGATAGTGTTGATAGACGATATGGCGGTGTTGTTGTATGCGGTAATTCTGCAGCTGATGTCTCGCCCTCAGCTCCCAGCATTGCCATCTCCGCTGTGTCAATAGACGATAATTTGGGCTTTTTAGTTGGAGGTTCGGGCAAAATGTCACTATCCGTTTGTAAATCCACATTGTTGTAAATGTTGTCATTTCCGTTTGCCAGGAATTTTGCAGATGATGGCGGTTGTTGTTGCTGTCGTTGTAAGACAGCATCATTGTCGCTACCACGAACATTATTCCGGCCATAGGCAGACGAGTCGCCAAGTTGTGAGGTGCCCGCAACAGCTGGCAGTGTCACAGACATGTCCATATTAAAATCTTGACCAACACCAACACCTCCCGAACCACCACCCCCTACACCACCACCATCATTGTTCCCGTATTCATGATGACGACTATTGACCGCATGTTGACGATGTTTCAGCTCCTTTTCATGCTGATGCTTTAGATGCTGTTCCCGGTGCTGATGTTGATGATGCTGATGCTCTTCCGTTTTATAGTCATAATACAGGACGGAGGGTAGATTTTCGGGGAAATTAAGGATTTTACTGGAACCCGCACCAGATGTGTGATGTTCGGGATGGTGATAGTGGTGATCGTTGTTGGTTTTATGTTGCTGCTGCTGCGCTTGTTGTTGTTGTTTCTTTAATTTGTCCTTTTTCATTTGTTTCTCCTTAAGCTCTAATGCCTTCTTACCCTGCTGCTGTTCTTCATGGCTGTTCTTCTTCTTTTTGGTCATTTGTTGTTGTTGTTGCTGCTGTTTATTATGATGGCTTTTGTAGGAGCTCTTACCATATCTGTACGTACTGTCATCATATTCATTATCTTCCGTATCACCATCTAGGCCAGCAGCATCTTCATCAGCCGCCTCTCCATCATCACCATTTTGTCCAAATTTATAGCTTTTGTTAATTTTCGGTTTCTTCATCGGCCTTAGCGTTGTTCTAATCGTAGATTTCTCATTGGCCTGTATCCGCATTGTAGATGATTCTCCATATGGTGTCGAATAGTCATCGTAGCGGGGTGTCTGACTCTTTTGCACCTTTTTGTCTGCAAGTGAAATAAAGCAAAACAAGATGATGATGAATGGCTGGAACCCATTTTTAAACGAGTGTCAATCAAAACTGTTATGAGGTTGGAAAAATCATAAATCATTTTGGCAACAATCCTTTTCATCAAACATCTCAAAGGATATTATCTACAAGGAGTCGTGGATTTTTTAAAGAATATTTTTTCAAGCCACCATAGAAGAGGCGTGGATTTTTTAAAGAATATTTTTTCAAGCCACCATAGAAGAGGCGTGGATTTTTTAAAGAATATTTTTTCAAGCCACCATAGAAGAGGCGTGGATTTTTTAAAGAATATTTTTTCAAGCCACCATAGAAGAGGCGTGGATTTTTTAAAGAATATTTTTTCAAGCCACCATAGAAGAGGCGTGGATATTTTAAAGAATATTTTTTCAAGCCACCATAGAAGAGGCGTGGATTTTTTAAAGAATATTTTTTCAAGCCACCATAGAAGAGGCGTGGATTTTTTAAAGAATATTTTTTCAAGCCACCATAGAAGAGGCGTGGATTTTTTAAAGAATATTTTTTCAAGCCACCATAGAAGAGGCGTGGATTTTTTAAAGAATATTTTTTCAAGCCACCATAGAAGAGGCGTGGATTTTTTAAAGAATATTTTTTCAAGCCACCATAGAAGAGGCGTGGATTTTTTAAAGAATATTTTTTCAAGCCACCATAGAAGAGGCGTGGATTTTTTAAAGAATATTTTTTCAAGCCACCATAGAAGAGGCGTGGATTTTTTAAAGAATATTTTTTCAAGCCACCATAGAAGAGGCGTGGATTTTTTAAAGAATATTTTTTCAAGCCACCATAGAAGAGGCGTGGATTTTTTAAAGAATATTTTTTCAAGCCACCATAGAAGAGGCGTGGATTTTTTAAAGAATATTTTTTCAAGCCACCATAGAAGAGGCGTGGATTTTTTAAAGAATATTTTTTCAAGCCACCATAGAAGAGGCGTGGATTTTTTAAAGAATATTTTTTCAAGCCACCATAGAAGAGGCGTGGATTTTTTAAAGAATATTTTTTCAAGCCACCATAGAAGAGGCGTGGATTTTTTAAAGAATATTTTTTCAAGCCACCATAGAAGAGGCGTGGATTTTTTAAAGAATATTTTTTCAAGCCACCATAGAAGAGGCGTGGATTTTTTAAAGAATATTTTTTCAAGCCACCATAGAAGAGGCGTGGATTTTTTAAAGAATATTTTTTCAAGCCACCATAGAAGAGGCGTGGATTTTTTAAAGAATATTTTTTCAAGCCACCATAGAAGAGGCGTGGATTTTTTAAAGATTATCTTTTCAAGCCACCTTACAAGAGGCGTGGATTTTTTAAAGAATATTTTTTCAAGCCACCTTAGAAGTGGCGAGGCGTGGATTTTTTAAAGAATATTTTTTCAAGCCACCTTAGAAGTGGCGAGGCGTGGATTTTTTAAAGAATATTTTTTCAAGCCACCTTAGAAGTGGCGAGGCGTGGATTTTTTAAAGAATATTTTTTCAAGCCACCTTAGAAGAGGCGAGGCGTGGATTTTTTAAAGAATATTTTTTCAAGCCACCTTAGAAGTGGCGAGGCGTGGATTTTTTAAAGAATATCTTTTCAAGGCCTAGAAGAGGCGTAGATTTTTTAAAGAATATCTTTTCAAGGCCTAGAAGAGGCGTGGATTTTTTAAAGAATATTTTTTCAAGCCACCATAGAAGAGGCGTGGATTTTTTAAAGAATATTTTTTCAAGCCACCATAGAAGAGGCGTGGATTTTTTAAAGAATATTTTTTCAAGCCACCATAGAAGAGGCGTGGATTTTTTAAAGAATATTTTTTCAAGCCACCATAGAAGAGGCGTGGATTTTTTAAAGAATATTTTTTCAAGCCACCATAGAAGAGGCGTGGATTTTTTAAAGAATATTTTTTCAAGCCACCATAGAAGAGGCGTGGATTTTTTAAAGAATATTTTTTCAAGCCACCTTAAATTTTTTAAAGTACATCTTTTCAACGCTTCCATCATGCGTGGATTTTTTAAAATTATATCTTTTCAAGGCCTAGAAGAGGCCTGAATTTTTTAAAGATTATCTTTTCAAGGCCTAGAAGAGGCGTGGATTTTTTAAAGAATTTTTTTATTTTTATTTTAAGGCCTATAGAATTAGCTGCCAGATTATTCAGTTTTAGATTTTTTATAAAATAAATAAAAATTGCATCTCATCAACGTTTCCCTTCAAATGCTGTGTAAATATTTAAACAATTGCCAGTTTTTTGTTTACAATGGACTAGAGCTGGGTGGCCAGCCATGATAATAAAAAATAATAAAAAAATCTGTGAAACAATAAATCAAAATGTGAACGTAGTGATTACAGCAACACAATATGACCGGATATCTATTGAAATTTTCGCAAAATGTTGCATTTAATCGAACATACATAGTTTATAGAATTTGTTGATGCTGCTGGAGGTGGGTTGAGGGGGATGGATGGCAATAAATTTGCATTGCCAAAAGTGATTTAAATTTTAAGGGAATTTAAACGGAAAAATTAAAACAGATTTATACAAATTTTAATTTAATATTCCTTAAAGGTAGATTAGATTAACTTTTATTTAATACACCTTCTTAAATATTATTTTTAATATTACTTCTCTTAAGACAAAAAAAAACAAATCCTTACACCCACAACCGCACAACATAAATACTGGCCAAAATACCTTTTGCCCCAAAAGCAACCACAACATAAATGAAGCCAAGTCAAATTTAAGTCAAAGATCTGTAGAAACCAAACAAAAAACTTACCACATTTTTCCCACCAACAAAATATTTCACCATCCATGCACAAACAGACCTCACAGCTATCAAGACGTGGCACCTGAAAATATTCAAAGAAACAAAACAAAAAAAAAAACGGAAAGAAAATGAGAAAAACGACATCATCACTAAATAATGAAATATTCACAGACATAAATTCAAAGGTACAGCAACAGACCAACCATCAAACCAAAAAAAAAATTCAAGAAAAATAATAACTTAAGAATTTCGCAGAAGGATAATAAAGTACTGGTGGCTTGGTATCCTGGCAACCAACAGCATAGTAGAGTCTTCAGGATGACAAATATTAATGTAAATGTGAAAATGTAATTACAAAGGGATATTTACGCACAAACGACAACATTTTCAATAATCATTATAAGAAGACAGTGGGAGTTGAAAAAAAACAGAAATATATTTTTTATACTCTACAAAGCTATATTGTGTATCCCCAAGAGTTTGTAACGCCACGAAATATTGGTCCTAGACCCTAATTTTAGTATACCGATCGCCATATAGCGACTAGCTGAATGTGGTTTAGTAATACGATCATCACACAAGACGGTCCATGTATTGCAAAATTGTTGCCTATGATCGGTATAAAGGTCAACTAGGGGCCTTCACCTTCACTCACTGATTTTATTTTATTTATTTAGGCTTTTGTTTTAATTGTCTCATATATTTTTTTAAATTTGAATTCATTTCCATTTATCGTGCTCCACTGTACCATAAATACCTGTGTAGTAAATTTTTGAGTATGCCCAATTGACACCAAAGGTATTTAAAAATAATTGCACACTGCTGCTGCTGCTACTACACACGTTCGAAACCGCAATTTCCAATTTATTTACATTTTTGGTTATTTTGTGATGAAGTGGGTTGTTGCTGTTGTTCAGCAAAGCTGCTTTGCTGTTTGCAAAGTAAAGCGGATTTTTTATTTATTACGCTACACATTTATTTTCGTAACCAACATTGGGTATGGGCGATCAATCAATCAAAGCATGTATTTAGTTCCAAAATTAAAAAGAAAACAACAACAACAAACAAATAGTTTAGGTCGAATGTAATTCTGGAAACCCCAATTATTTGAATACGAACTTGATAGCACCAATATGATCTACGAAAATTCACGTAAATATGGACCTTAATTGAGTTGTTCATATTTCTGACAACTCCATTGAAATGTTTGACTTTTTTAATAGGGCTTCCTTGAACTTCAATCATTGTACGGCGATTTCATGTCAATCGGACAGACATAGAGTTATTGGTGTACTATTTATATAAAATCGAATAAAATCATGTATGAGAACTATATTGGATGTCTTGTGATCATTTATAGCCCACAAAAAATTTATCACAAGACTTCCAAAAAGTCATATCTTCCATGGGAAGTCATCAACTGGAGTTCTTTAGCAATTTTTATGAGCCCTATAATTCGATATTAATTTCCAGACATGAGAATGATCAATAATAGAAATATTAATATAACTAACATAGGCTCACGGTTCATATCGGTACCATTTAGTGCACTTTAGCACTTCTTACATATCCCAATTCTACACACCACAATTTACATTTAAATTGTATTAAATTTTGTACACATTAGTATGAATTTTCAGAGCTTCCTACATAGTCCAAATTTAAGGATCCCATCTCTATCGGTTCACTCAAAATTCAAATTGTACCAAATTTAGTACCATTTAGTACCCATAAGTATGAATTTCCAAACTACATCCATATCCCCCAAACCTACACTACAAAAGTGACCTTCATTCCAAATTTTAGAGTTCCAGCTCTACCGGTTTACCCAAATCAAAATTGTACCAATTACGGTACGTGTTTGAATTACTTTTTGTACACTTTTTGTACTTCGACGAAAATGCAATTTCAAATTTCACGATTCCAGCTCTATCCGTTTCTCGAAATTCAAATTGTACCACATTTAGTACTGTTTAGGACTTTTCATGAGTACACACTTCCAAAACAACCTCTTTATATCGACCTTACTTCTAAACCTTAATTCACATTTCAAATTTCAAGTTTTTAGCTCTATCCGTTCGTATGCTACGAAATTGTAACAAATTTAGTACATTTTAATACTTTTCGGATACTTATAGTTCGAATTTCCAAAATCCCCTTGGTACATCCATCCTACATGCCATCAATGAACCTCAATTCAAATTTCAGAGTTTTGGCTCCACCGGTTTACCCAAATCAAAATTGTACCAATTATATAAAATTGTACCAATTATAGTACGTTTTACGCTTCCAGCTTCATCCATTTATCCAATTTAAAATTGTACCAAATTTAGTACCTTCCTTATATATGAGTACACTTAATTCGCATTCCAAATTTCAAGTTTTTAGCTCCATTCGTTCGCATGTTAAGAAATTGTAGCAAATTCAGTACATTTTCAAGATTCTAGCTTGATCCGTTTCGTCTGAGCGTGATGGATAGTTAAGTAAGTCAGTTAATCACTTTACTCTTTTATTCGTATAGATTAAATCCGGTCGGCTAGTAACACAAACACTGAAATAACAGAAAGGGGTGGCGTATGATTTATAGAATAACATTCATTTAAAATAAATAATAATCATGCGCCACCAGGTACTATAATCTGTATTGGGGGAAATTGTAGAATGCAACACAAAAAATAAATAACGGTATATTGTAAATTACCTCCCGACGTATATGTCTTCTTTTTAATCATCTCCCACCGGGGCCGACCATACGATACCCTAAACAACTACCACGGAACTCTAACTTTCTGCGGATGTTTATTTTGAGCCTGGACAATATTTCGTGGTATTTTCAGCCTCTTGACCGATTAGAGATCAACAGCACCTCTTCCTTACACTGCCATATATTCCGAATATTACTAACATTCAAAACAGCCGCCCCTCTAATTATTTTTCCAGATTCCCTTCACCGTGAGTTGTGTTGTGATGTTCGACTTATAATTGTGGCCTATAGATCGACTCGAAAAAAAAAACACCTGTAAAAAAGGTAACTCCCACATCCTGTACGACAATAATATGTAAGTGTAACTCACACAAAAGATCTATTAGCAAAGCAAAAGAGGCATGCTCATTCTTTGGCCCGATCCCCTTCTCCATGTAAAATTTCACAATGTTCGGGCCATAATTGCGGCCTCTGAAGTGACAACAATTTAGTATTTGGTCCATTTCATCCCCTAAATATTAACCGATCTTTACCAGAAACAATAGGGGTCTTCATTAGCCAGAACCTATCCTACATGCTAAATTTCGTGAAAATTGGTCCATATCTGTGGCCTGTATCGTGTTTACAAATTATAATGGACAGACGGATGGACGGACACACACGTCTAGATCGACTCAGCTAGTCGAGATATGGTAAACTTAAAGGTGGGTCTAGGACCAATATTTCACGGCGTTACAAATTGTTGGGGCTGCACAAAGCTATAATACCCTGACAACATAGTTGTGTAGGGTATAATTAAATACGGTTATGGAATCACATTTATTTAAAATAAAAAAATATCATACGCCACCAGGTACAATCATTGGTATAAAATGGAGGGAAACTGTAGAAGGCAAGGAATAATATGAATACTCATACTACTCACAAATGATGGCAGAACTTTGAAATTTTTTTTGGGAAAATCGCCTATTTTCGACCACAAACTAACTTAAAAAATAAGGAAGATCTTCACCGATTGGCTTTATCCTAGTTCATACGACAGCTATACACACACAGAGAAACGTCCCAAAATTTGAAATCGATTGGGTTATTATGTTTTGAGTTATCGTGCCCGCCATATTGATTCGAGAAAAATGCGTTTAAAGTTTGAGAGTCACTCTTGCCGTCACTTGATGCTGACACATTAAATCGACTATATCTTCAAAAGTTCTTGAGATTTTCACTTTAAATTTTGTAGGTACATTCTTGAATTAGTGTGGATTCAAAAAACTACATAAATTTTTTGACACCGATAATGGGGGGTCCCCTTAATGTATTTAACACAAGATTGCCGAAGGCGGTCATTTTGACCGTTTTTCAATTTCAAGTACAAAAACAACTGTGCATATAATGACACTTTTTTTTTAAATTTGGTGACTTTTTGTACCACATAGAATTACGTTTACAGTTATTTTTATAGCTGAAATTGAAAAACTGTCAAAATGACCGCCTTCGGCAATGTAGTGTTAAATACATTTTCTATTTTTCCTTCACGAACCCCTTTCCCAAAGGACTGCTATTTCACATAAATTTCTTACAATAAATATTTCCTTTTGCTTTAATCGCTCACAGAATCTATAAATCTTGCCAATTCACTTTCTTAAATATTTTATTATAATGTGACCTTATTATACAGCCATAATATTTTCCACTTCTCTAGTAAATCCCTTTTTCAAGGCTCAGATGTCCCTTTTGCCTTATTTCTCACTTGCATATCTTTTTTTCCTCGGGATTTATATTCTCTGCTCATTGCATAAACCAATTTATGACAGCCTTTCATTAATTTATGACACATTATTATTATCATTATTATTTAATGTAATAAAATTGACTCAATTAATTAATATGGGACGGTTAAAACCTATCGGCTTAACGTGCGAAAAAAACAATAAAAAATAAGGGATTTTGTGGGTGTGTCTCTGTGCGGCCAATAAAACAACAACTGTGACAACTGTTGGATTAAGAAGAAATTATCTTTTTTTATTTCAGGAGAACAGACAACCTGGCTGATAGGGGTCATAAATTTATGATTTTATAGTTGAGTGGATTATACAAAAAAAAAGAGAAGAATTTCCATGAATTTGCCGAATAGATTTTAATAATGAATTTCAATTAGTGATAATTTTTTTCCGGGCAAAGAAAATGGGACTGAGGAGAGGAAATATTTTTAAATGTGGCATTTCCTTTTATTTCAAAATAATAATTAATTAAAAATGCACATCACAAGGATATTTGTAAATGTGAATTTCATTGCCATTGTCATTTGCTGGTTTTGTTGTTGCTGTTGTGTTTTGGGCTGTGTTTTTGTGCAGAAATTCTCAACATACCTTTTGGCCGTGAGTGTATTTTTGGCCATTTGTGTAACAGGATGCCGCACGTGGCAAATGGATTTCTGGTTTTTCAGTAATTGCTGGCGTTGTTTCATCTATCCTTGTGGTGTCCTTGGTGTCAGCATCGTTGTTGTTGTTGTTATTGTTGTTTTTGCCATTCTGGCTAGCATCATTAGTTTTCAATTTAGTTAAAATGTCTGAATCGGTTACCGAGCCGCGCTCACCATTTTTGCCATTATCGTTGAAGACAAAAGACGCACCAGCACCACCACCTGCACCTCCCATGTGCTCTTCTTCAATCATCTTTCGTTCCTCATTCGTTGAGTAACCATCCGGCTCAGTTAAATGCATGGAACCCTTTTGGTTTTCAAGTGATTGGTGTTGCTGCTGCTGTTGTTCGTTCTGAGCGTCTGAAGTTTTCAACATCTGCTGTGATAGCAAACGTGTATCATATTTTGCCTGTATCTGTTCCGTATCCAAGTCGTAAAAACTTTGGTCATGATCATCAAAGTATTCATAGGGAACTGTAACAAAAAAATCGAGGAGAACAAGAAGAAGTGGAAATCGTAAGAGGAAAAATGAATCAAATGGAAACAATACAAGCAGAACAAACACACATTTGAGTGTTCTATTTTTCCGTTCTCAACAACAATGATTTCTAGTTACTATTAAATGTAACTTAAATAAATTACTTTTACTATGTGTGTGTGTGCAAATGTGTCATGGAAAAGAAAAATGTATTTCTGTACGTATTTGTGTGTGTGTGTTGTTTTCACTTTCTTCAAATATCTGTGCATCCGAGTGTGCATTCGACATACATACCTGCCCTCACCAGCGATGACAATTGTGTACTACCGAACATACACGATACGCAACATATCCAAATACAAATGATTCTTTGAAAATTCCACATGATTCCGTTATGTCCTTTCGGTTTGATTATTTTGATTTCCTGGATATGAATGTTAATTTAGCTTGGGTAGCTTGACTTGTTTATGTGAAGGAAGTCTTGGGATGATATGATTCAAGTGTTGTTGTTGTTGAATGTTGTTGTCCAAAGTATATTGATCTGGAATTGAAAAATATAAAAGAAAAACATTTTAAGCTGATAAGATAATATAAATAAGAAAATAATGGTACAGAGTGGCGTATGATTTACAGAATTGAATTAATTTAAAATAAATATTTATCATACATCACCGAGTACAAGCATCAATATAAAACGGAGGAAAATTTTACAATGGCAGGAAGTAAATTAATGACCATATGATACCCTACATATCTACCACGAAAATACAACTTTTTTCTAGCACGAAAATACAACGAAGGGTTTTCTTCTACCATCATAAGCTTTTTTATTTTGGCAGTTCCGTTCGTTGGAGACGAATATTTACGCCATAAAATAAATATTTGGTCACATTAGTTTTTGATTAATTTGACCCTCGGAATATTGACCGATCATAGTCTTAACAGCCGTTCTATATATTTGGTCAAATCCCATTCATCGTGTAAAATATGTGTGACGTTCTGCATATTATAATGGCCTCTAGAGCGACTAGAAAATCTTACAGTTTTCGGTTCATTGCCCCCTCTACATATCTTTTAAACATCACCGAAAATTATAGACATTGTTATTGACCACAAGCGGAACCACTTCTCTTTGATATACTATCAACTTATCGGGTCTATGTCCTCAGAATATATATTTTGTCATTTTTCACGCAACAGTCTGTGTTCATTCGAACCGCTAAATATAGGCCAATTTTTTATCAAAATAGGTATGCTTATTCTAATGACCACCCTTCATGATGTAATTGAGGCCATTTGGTCCCTAAATATTGACCGATAATTACCAGAAACAATTGAGGTCTTCTTTGGCCAGAGGCCATACAACATGGAAAATTTCGTGACGATTCACTCAGCTAATCGAGATATGATCGGTATACCTAAAAACGGGACAAATAGTTAGATGCGCTACAAACTCTGGGGGTTGTACAAAGCTATAATACCCTGGCATCATAGTTGTGTAGTGTATAGAAATCCACCCCTGTTGGTAGTCCACAAACAAGTATTAAAAAAAATCCACCATAACATCCGCGTCTGTAGTCCTTAAAACATATTTCTAAAAAAAAAATCCACACCTGTTGGTACTCCTTAAACAAGATTTCTGAAAAAAATAAACAGCTCTTGGTAGTCCTTAAAAAATATTCCGAAAAAATCCACTCCTAATTGTATTCCTAAAAAACATTTTTTATTTCAAAATCGAAGCCTGTCGTAAAATTTTGTATATCAACATTAAACATATTTCCATTTGGTCCGTAAATATTAACGGATCATTACAAAAAAACAATTGAGGTCTTCCTTGGCCAGAGGCCATACTACATGGAAAATTTCGTGACGATTCACTCAGCTAATCGAGATATGATCAGTATACTTAAAAGCGGGTCTGGGACAAAATGTTAGCTGCGCTACAAACTCTTGCGGCTGTACAAAGCTATAATACCCTGACATCATAGTTGTGTAGATTATAGAAATCCACCCCTGTTGGTAGTCCACAAACAAATATTCAAAAAAAAAAAAAAAAAAAATCCACCAAAAAACCTATTTCTAAAAAAACCCACTCCTATTGGTACTCCTTAAATTAATAAACAGGTCAATAATATAAATATATAAAATATTCTGAAAAAATCCACTCCTAATTGTATTCCTAACAACATTTTTTATTTAAAAATCCAAGCCTGTCGGAAAGTCCTTACAAAAGAGCAATTTGATGTTCTTGGAAAATTTTGTACATCAACATTAAAAAGTGTACTCTCTGATGACTAAATGAATTTTGAATCGATAAAAATCTAATGTGTACATTTACTGAATTTACAGTCATCGGCGATCCTTTCGCCACGTTTAAATGCAGTAAACCGAAAAGTAGCAAATGGTACTATATTCGGTACAATTTCACTCTAAATCCAAATTGTACCAAATTTAGTACCTTTTAGTACACATTAGTAGAAATTTTCGAAACTTTTTATATACCCCATTCCTACACCACAACAGTGATCCTAATTCCAAATCTCGGCATCTCAGTCCTATCCATTCACCCAAATCCAAATTGTACCAAATTTAGTACCATTTAGTACTTTTCATACTCATAAGAAAGGATTTCTAAAACTATTTAGAACTAAAAAATTTAAAACAAAAATACCTCAATCCTGCTTTCAAATAGTAAACGTAAGTCCAAATTTAAAAATGCACCTCTATCTGTTCATCATAATCCAAATTGTACCAGATTTCGTACCATTCTGTATTTTTCGTAGCCATAATCATAAACTACCTCAATCCTATATTCCGACAGTAATCTTAGTTGCAGATTTCAGGATACCAGTTCTACACGTTCACCAAAGTTTAGATTGTACCAAATTAAGTACCTTTAACAACAATAAGTACGAATTTCCAAAACTAACTCATTCATCCATTTCAATAATAATCTTAAGTTCATATTTAAGGCTTCCAACTCTTAAGTTCATATATCCGTTCACCAACATCCAAGTTGTACCAAATTTAGTACCCTTATTACTTTTTGTAGACGTAAGTACGATTTCCCAAAACTTCCCCAATTCTACACTCAAACAGTAAATTTCATCAACAATTGGAGGATCCTGCCCTATCTGTTTACATAGATCTAAAATGTATCGTATTTAATGCCATTTAGTATTTTCAATACTTAAAAGTTCGAATTTTCAAAACTACCTCAATCAAGAACTCTAATAGTAATTTTAATTGCAAATCTATACGTTCACTCAAATGTAAATTGTATCAAACTTAGTACAAATATTGTAAAATTTAGTACTAAATATGGTACAATTTGGTACTAAATATGGTACAATTTGGTACTAAATATGGTACAAATTAGTACAAAATTGTACCCTATTTAGTACCATTAAGTACGTCATTGATCCCTTAATCCGGTGGATTAGGAAGATTAAGCTTTAATCCGGGGTCAATGACCTTAAACCGGATTAAACTTTAATCCGGGGTCAATGACCTTAAACCGGATTAAGCTTTAATCCGGGGTCAATGACCTTAATCCGTGGTCAATGACCTTTAATCCGGGGTCAATGACCTTAATCCGGGGTTAATGACCTTAATCCGGATTAAGCCTTAATCCGTGGTCAATGATCTTAATCCGGATTAAGCCTTAATCCGGTGTCAATGACTTTTAATCCGGGTTCAATGACCTTAATCCGGGGTGAATGACCTTAATCCGGATTAAGCGTTAATCCGGGGTCAATGACCTTAATCCGGGGTCAATGACCTTAATCCGGGGTCAATGACCTTAATCCGGGGTCAATGACCTTAATCCGGGGTCAATGACCTTAATCCGGGGTCAATGACCTTAATCCGGGGTCAATGACCTTTAATCCTTAATCCCTCGGATTAAGTGTTAATCCGGGGTCAATGACCTTAATCCGGGGTCAATGACCTTTAATTCTTAATCCCCCGGATTAAGCGTTAATCCGGGGTCAATGACCTTAATCCGGGGTCAATGACCTTTAATCCGGGGTCAATGACCTTAATTAAGGTTTAATCCGGGGTGAACGACCTTAATCCGGGGTCAATGACCTTTAATCCGGGGTCAATGACCTTAAACCGGATTAAACCTTAATCCGGAGTCAATGACCTTAAACCGGATTAAGCCTTAATCCGGTGTCTATGACCTTAATCCGGATTAAGCTTTAATCCGGGGTCAACTACCTTAATCCGGGGTCAATGACATTAATCCGGATTAAGCCTTAATCCGGGGTCAATGACCTTAATCCGGGGTCAATGACCTTAATCCGGGGTCAATGACCTTAATCCGGGGTCAATGGCCTTAAACCGGATTAAGCCTACAGCCGTAGACCGGATTAAACCGGATTAAGCCTACATCCGGAGTCAATGACCTTTAATCCGGGATCAATGACCTCTAATCCGGGATCAATGACCTTAATCCGGGGTCAATGACCTTAATCCGGGGTCAATGACCTTAATCCGGGGTCAATGGCCTTAAACCGGATAAAGCCTACATCCGTAGTCAATGACCTTTAATCCGGGATCAATGACCTTACTCCGGGGTCAATGACCTTAAACCAGATTAAGCTTTAATCCGGGGTCAATGACCTTAATCCGAATTAAGCCTTAATCCGGGGTCAACGACCTTAATCCGGGGTCAACGACCTTAATCCGGGGTCAATGACCTTTAATCCAGGGTCAATGACCTTAATCCGGATTAAGCTTTAATCCTGGATTAAGCTTTAATCAATGACCTTAATCCGGATTAAGCCGGATTAAGGCTTAATGACCTTAAATCGGGGTCAATGACCTTAATGCGGATTAAGCCTTAACCCGGGGTCAATGACTTTAATCCGGATTAAGCCTTAATCCGGGGTCAATGCCGTACTTAAGGGTACGATGGTACTAAATATGGTACAATTTGGTACTATATTGTACTAGACTATATTGTACCATATTCAGTACCAAATTGTACCACATTTAGTACTATATTGTACCAAATTTAGAACTAAATTTGATATACTGATATTTGAGGGAACGGATGGATTTGGAATTAAAATTACTGTTAGAGTTTGTGATTGAGGAAATGTCCGAACTTTAGAACTTATAGGTACGAAAAGTACTAAATGGTACTAAATATAGAATAATTTAAATCTATGTGAACAGATAGGGCTGAATCCTGCAATTTTTGATTAAAATTACTGTTGGAGTGTTAAATTGAGAAAGTTTTGGAAAATCAAAATTACGTCTACGAAAAATAATGAATGGTACTAAAATTGGTACAATTTCGATGTTGGTGAACGTATAGAGCTGGAAGCCTTAAACGTGTACATAAGATTATTATTGAAGTGCACGAATGAGATAGGTTTAGAAATTCGTACCTTTTAT